CTATCTTAATCATATTCTTACAGTGCAGGTACCCATATTCCTAAAAACACACGATTGAGACTAATCAGGAATTTTAGCAAAAATGCCAAATATTGAGGATGATTAAGAGATTGCCCCTGTAAACCCTTTGGTAGGCTTCTGCAAACTAGCATGAGTGGCTTCACTGCTTATCATGCATTTTGCCTGTTTACTGTGTGACTACAGGGAGGCTTTTAAAGCTGTCAGGATAGCTTTATTCATTAGCATTAATGTTCTAAAAATAGATATCTCCTTATTACTGCTCACATGAAACACCAGTACATTCTATTGATGCTGTGTCTCAGAATTGACTTGACAAGCTAGGATAAGTTTATGGCCTCTGAGAGGTAAGAGAGGAGAAATAAATGTCTGACAGAAGGTTAAAAATCTAGCAGTCCAGTGCATTGCATTGGACAAGCTACAGCTCTCATTCTCCTGCCAAAACTGTGATACCTGGTGCTGCCTGTTTTTTCAGTAAGAAGCTGGGTATTTTTTATAATGAAGTAGTAGTCTGTGTTTTCTGTCCTTTAGCAAGGACTTCAATGTGTAGGAACCATATAACCTCACTGAAGTATAGTGATTTGATTCCTAATATTGATGATTTCTAGAACTCAGAAAGAATTGCCTTTTCTTATTTCTGTCACTGTAGTAATTTTTGAACTGAAAGATCTCTGGGTCCCCTGTGACGGTAAGTAGAATGAGAACAAAGCAACAGTGGATGTATATGTTTAGAGGGAAAGAAGAATGAGCTGCTTTCTCTGGAAATGATCTGCAAAACGCAGCAGCTGGAGAATCACAGCAGAAATCCCCTCTTGCACCTTAGCAGAGGGTAGTTTTAACTGGTGTGGAAGAAAAGTAACTCCTAAAGGACTGGGAACAGGATAAATTGAATTGAAACTCAGCCATCAGGGACATCTGTGTTTAAACAGACTTTGCTGTGTTAGACAAGCAGCCATCTGCCTCTCTTCCTGACCTGCCGTACACACTCTTCAGCCACTGTCCCAAGAGAGCCACTCCCTTAATCATTAGTTGTCATCCCTTTGGTTATATTTAATTAAGATTATTGATGGATCTCCAGGCACCTTCTGAGAAGTTGTATTAATTGGAAACATACAGGGTGGCAGGTTCCGTCATTCTGCCCAGAGACCTCTACTGACAGGCTGATATTAATCAGAGACAAAATCCTTTTAGTGATATGACGAACTGAGCCAAAGCCTGTCAGACGTTAACAAATTTTACTTTTCTTTATGATTCATTGTCTCAGAGCTGGCAGTGAGAGATATATGGCCCTGCAGAGGGATTAGGAAGGGTGGAGAAGAATGGAGCTGCAGGATTTGTTCCAGAGCTCTGCACCACTGGCATATTAATTTGTATACTCTTATATACATTCTGTCCTGCAGAAAATACCCATTTAATGCACAAGTGTCTCAACTAGAGATGTTTCTGGGAATCTTGGAACGGATCAGAGCAGATCATGATAGTTTCTGGCATCTCTGAGCAAATAAGGTAATTTGCTGGAAATGGCTGGATTTCCTAGATCCTAGGAGTTAGGGATTAGGGATGGCAGTTCAAAACTACAGAGGTAGACAGAACAGTGCAGGGCAGCTGCAGCTGATCTGATTGAGAGCTCAGGATAAGGTAGGCTGGTGTTGGAGTTGGGGTGGGGCGTGACATGTCAGAAAAGAAATTGCATCTGTCATGATGCTAGTGAATGCATTTGTGCTAGTAAGAACATTAAGTGCTAATATTGTCCAAACACGATAACTCAGCAGACAGGAGTTAAGTCAAAACCACCTGGAATCTCACCCAACAGGTTCGTTTCACTACTAAAGTGGAGGTGCTTTAAATTTTAAGGCATCTCAAATTAAATTGGGTTAAGAAGGTCAGGATGAGACAGTCGAGAATAAATTGTGGTAAGTGAGGGCATTATGAAGTGATATGAGAAGAACTGGTGCATTCCGGGTAAATTTGTGTGAATATACTGGAATTTACCTGGAAGCTGGATCCAGGCAGTTCAAAAAGACATAGATATCAACTCTATTCTTTTTTTCCCAATACAACATCTCCTAATTGTTTGTTAGGCAGTATCTGGAGGCTTTACATAGCTAAACCAGAAAGTGAAGGATAGATATATGGTGTAATTTCTCACCTCTTCAAGAAGTATTTAAGACAACAATCTCATTTTAAGGGTGTATTTTATTACAGCATTGTTAGCATTGTATTTAATTGTGGCATAGCATTTGCTGTAGCATCATACCTGGCTCTTACTCAGTTGTGATATAGATTCCTTTCAAATCTAATACTCATAGTTTAATCTCTGTGGTTTATTTTGATTTTGACTAGCTGAAATGCAGGCAAGGATTCACCTTTAACTATGCTGATCTAAGATAACAAGTTGTACATGCAGTTAGACTTTCACATGGTTTTTGTAGTTGTACGTTCAGGATTCACAGTGAAACATCTGTGTGGTTCACTGCTGAGAGAATTTGGTTTCTGACTGTCCCTCTAAAGTCAGCACTTCTGTCCCTTCCATTAGTATCTCAGTGCTATCAGCTGAACAAAATACAGGCTAGAGAGAGACTTGGCTGTTGAGTAACACAGCCCTTCTGTAGTTCCACATTCTCCCTTAAAATAAATGTTCAATATTAAAAAATCATGTTTAATAGTAAAATTGTGTCTTGCTTCAGACATCTTTGCATGTTGTATGTAGACACCATCACGTACGTTATTCTGCCTGCTTGGAAGTTTCTTAGGCTGAATGCCTGACTGAATGCCAAAAAAAAATGGAAATGCTAATGCAGACAGCAGTAACTTACAGGAAGCTATTACAATTCTCCTTGTGTAGCTTGCCTTTCTATTTCTCAACCTTCCCTCCTCCCCCGCCTCATTTTTCTTGGAATTACTTAAATGAGAGATCAACTTTTGAAGGTGAATGTCCCCGAAGGTGCTGCCACCATTAGCTAATGTAATTTGGAAAAAGGGAGGCTGATTTACAGGGAGTGCAGTTCAGCTTCTGTTACGTCCTAGTATTTGTGTCTTTCCTTGTTACTGTTCTTGTGCATGTCTAGTTAGGAATTGCAGGTGGCAAATGCAGCAGGGAAAAGTGGATATCAATAAGGGTAACTAGAAGAGGCAAAAAGAAGAGTAGCTGAACCTCACATGAACTGGAATACTGAAATGTACTTCATGTTCCTGTCTTGGATTTGCAAGATCTCCAGTGTTTAGAGTTGCAGAATGCAAGCCTCTAGCCTAACTTGGTGTCAGCTTGTTTTGCTTCTTCTCTACTAGTAGTCCAGCTCAAAGGATAGCTTGTTTCCTGTCTTTTCAGAAAAAATGGAGCTACCTGCTCACCAAAATATTTCAGAACTTTCAGATTAAGTGTTTGAATTTGGACTTTAGATGGAAATTTACTTCTAAAGAGGACCAAAAGAAATCTTTTTTTTACATGAAAATGTCTTCTCATACTCTATATTGGACTTTAAGAGTATACTGTTTTAAAAATAACACAAAAATAATTATAGAATTGGACATACCAGAATATATTGTCTGCAGATGCAGTAAATTCTAGTAACCATATTGAGAATATTCTGGTATAGGTCTGGTGATGTTAGCTCAACAGAATTTCTAATGTCTTGTTAACTTCCTTGAATAGGCAGAGGCAAGGGGAGTGGTTTTAATGTCTATAGCTAGGAGGCTGAATATATTTTAATCCAAATCAATGTCCTGTGCAAAAAAAAAAAAAAATTATTTCCAGCATCTTTGGTTTGGCCTCATGTATATGGTCAGAGAACTCAAACCTGTGGAAGGAAACTGATCTTTCATATGTCCTCCAGTGCAAAAGGGAGATTGTTGGTGCCTGAAGAGCCCTGATACAGTGGTAAAATGGCTTATTCAGGAACTACTTTATGACAAGGATCTGAGTACTTTATGTCCCCAGTGTTTGATGTCTAACTCTTCAGTTTTCTGCATCTACCTTGTCCCTCCTGCCGTGCTGAGACCTGTTTGTACCCCAGCCTTTGAAATGTTCCTGTGCCTTCTGTGTTGCCTGCCTTTTTCAGCTGAGGACATAAGCGCTCCAGAACCTGCCAGATGAGTTGAGGACTTCCAGAACTACCCTAGGGAAGAAACTTCTGGGAACAAGGGGATTTTCCACCACTGACTCGGAGGCTGTGGGAATGATGCCACCATTTCGGAAGCAGTAGTTTCAGTGTCTTCTTCGAAGAAACAGCAGGAGCAATACAGATCCAGCTGTAATGTAATGGAGACGGCTGAGAGTTAAGTAATGCGAGTTTGAAGCGTCAAGAAAAGTTTCCATAGTTGCAAAAGAATTTGAGAAGTGCTGACTGAGAGGGGGCTTCATCAGAGTGTGTAAGTATCTAAGGGGAAGGGGTGCCAAGAGGATGGACCAGGCTCTTCTTGGTGGTGCCAAGCTATAGGACAAGAGGCAATGGGTAGAAACTGATGCACAGGAAGTTCCACCTGAATATGAGGAAGAACTTTACTGTGCGGGTGACCTTGCACTGGAACAGATTGTCCACAGAGATTGTGGAGTCTCCCTCAACCATCTGGACGCAGTCCTGTGCCATGTGCTCTAGGACAGCCCTGCTTGAGCAGGGAGGTTGGATTAGATGACCCACTGTGGTCCTTTTCAACCTCACACATTCTGGGATTCCTTGAGTTCCATTTGAATTATTTGAAACAATCATGATTTCTTCTGCTCTGGTTGAAGAGCAGAGTGTGTTTGCTCCTTCCTTGGTTAGGTTTGGCACAGAAAAACGTTTTGGGATGCGGACTGCTGCAACTGTTACCGAGTGGTTCCGTCTAACGCGGAAACTGTGGGGAAGTCACTTAATTTTCATGGAATACCCTTTGCCTGGACAAACAGGACGGGGGCGGGAAATGGAGGTTGCACCGGGAAGGGGCGGGTTTCCCGTGCGGGGATAGCAGGGCCCGCCCTACAGAGCGGCCGCGCAGGCGCCGCGGGCCGTGCGGGACATGGCGGGCCCCGCGTACCCTACTTGGGTCACCCGCTGGCTGAGCGGCCAGTGGCGCCAGAGGAAGCGGCCCCCGGCCATCCGCCCGCCCCGCCCGCTGGCGCTCGCCGACAAGGTGGCGAACCGCAGGGAGCAGGGGGGAGGTGAGTTCCCGGGGAGCGGTGGCGGGGAAGGCGGGCCCGGCCCCTGCGGGGAGGGTCGTGCTGCTGGCACTCTGTGCCCTGCGGGGCTGCAGGGGGGAGACGCTGGTTTGGGCCATGGAATTAGCTCACGGGCTCAGTGGAAATGATGGTTTCCTCACACTGCAACCCAAAATCTGCTTCTTGTGCTATTCCGTATGTGAGCCACGCACATAAAATACTTTGTTGCGTCTCAGCATAGCCTGTACCTTAAGCATTCAGTCAGATGTGGGATGGCTGCAGCGGGGCTAATCTTCGTGCTGGCGTCAACTCTGCCCAGAGCAAAGCTGAGATCTTTAGTGCCGCATTTTCTCACCTGCCTCGACTCCATCTTAAACTTCTCTGGAAATTTATGCATTGTGGAGGTTGTTAGAATAAAACCCCAAAGACCCGAGACTTTTGGTTGTGTCCTTCCCTTCTAGAGGCGACGTGCATTACAGAGATGTCAGTAATGATGGCCTGCTGGAAGCAGAATGACTTCAACGACGCCGCTTGTGCCGAGGAGATACGGATGTTCTATGACTGTGTGGCAAAAGCAGAAGTAATTAAAACCTCTTTTGTGTTCCTGAAGGCTAGTAGTAGGGAAGGGGGAAGCCCCTGCTCATTTTTTGTGTGCCAGCAGTTGTAATGTTCTCTGAACAGTTTGTTTGGTGGTGTAACTCATTTGAGCAATGAAGCTGGTGAAGGGTCTGGAGCACAAGTCCTGTGAGGAGAGGTTGAGGGAGCTGAGGTTGCATGCAACATGTGGATTATATTGTAATTGGGGAGATGTGCAGTATAGGCAAGTTTCTGCAACTGCTGATTCATGCAGTTAAGAAATAGCTGATTCCAATACCTGCATTATCTAGACAGTGGGGGAGAGTGGTGAGTTAGGATTCCCAAATTCCAATGTCATAAGTCTGTAAATAGTTTTGTGATTGTAGGAGTGAGGATGGAGACAAGTTGGTAGAGAAATAACCAATGTTTTCAGTAATCCTCATAACAAACAATTTTCAGGATATGTGAGGTCGTTATGGCAATTCTCAATTCTCTGAAAATTAGGAGCTCTTTTAGGCTGTTTCTGACTTTGAAGGCTAGACATCTTGAAAAATGAATTTCATATTGTTTCGAAATTAGATGTTTCTAATTATATAATATCGTATATTAGTATAATAATACTATATGATAAGCTAAGGGTTTGGGGGTTTTTTGTCTTTCAGAAACAGCACATGAATCAAAATGAGGACTCTGTGTCATCCAGGGGAAACTTACCTTCAAGCAAAGTGAACAAGCTCCTGAGGAGGTTTCCTCAGATCAGACATTATCCATAATGTGCTTTACTAAAGGGACTGTGGACAAGCAATTAAAGTTGGAGTCTTTGGCAAAAAAGAGAAAAGTCAACTTGAGTGAGTGTTTGATGTCAAATGGTATCTGTCAGCACTGCTCTGTCAATCTTGACCCATCTTTTGATTCCACAGTATCAGCTGATTTTGTTCATGAGATTCCTGGGTCTTGCAGTGTTAGGATTTCTGCAGTGTGTTGTTCAGCTAGCCAGAACTAGCCTACTTGGGTCCTCACTGTTAAATAAAACCTTTTAGGAAGGCATTTAAATGCATTTCCTAACAGTTTGGGGGTGACTTTTCCTGGCATGTAAACTTCCTACTTAACTTTGGAGCTGCTGTCAAGAAGTGCTCAGGTTCAAACACTAAACCAGCTGAAAATTGGTAGTAATCTCATGGCTCGTACTCTACAGGAGTGGATAACACAATTTGGTTCCTCTTGAATTTTTTTTAATTCCTGCTGCCGTACAAAAAGGCTATAGAATGTGCAAAAAATCTCCAGCAAAGTACCTTGTTAATACACAGTACATTGGTAAGTATCAGATATAACTTTAATGTAGAAGCTTATGATTTAGGCCCTCTGATTTGCAGGTGGCACAGGTATGGTGCCATATCAGTTAATTATTTTGTCTGGACTATAATAAAATAATGCAAGACTGGTGTTTGACTTGGGCAACTCATAATCTACAACAAAATGTTTCACTGTTTTTTGGTAAAAAAAAATCAAAAGAGGGAGAGAAAGTTCAAGCATGAACTGGTAACTGAAATCATGTAATGAATTATTAGTTTCAGTGTGGGGGTTTTTTTCCACTACAGTACCATAAAACTTCAGGACCAGTACCTAATTGTTGAGAAAAATGCAGTGTCTTGGAAAACTACTGTTATAACCATTTATATCAGTAATTCTTTCAGGCATGTAGAAAAAGCAGTGGAAGAAGGGAGTGAGGCACACACAGACTGTGAGATTACCCACAGGTGACTGGAGAGTTGCTGGAGTTGGAACTGACTTCTCTGGAGCCCCAGGCTGATACCTGTTTTATCCCATAAATTTTGGTCAGGTGAATGTTTCAAGTTATTGAAGAAATTTCCATTTAACTATAACTTACAATGCCTCATGATTGGATTATTCACAGGGTAGCTTGTTCTGTTGTTGCTATTATGGCATAATTGGGTCTTTCAGAGAATTTGGGGTCAGTAAGAACATAATATCCACATCTAAGTTTGGAAAACACTTTGATTCTATGACATTCTGCATTTTCAGTCCAAAAGACACTGAAAGGAAATGCTACTTCCTGGTCCTTTGTTTCTGCTGTCTGTGATGAACTGTCTTATATAAGAGGCTGTAACACAGAAGCCAATGCCTTTTTATGGTTTTATTTCTGAAATTTTGCACAGCTCTCACTAATCTGAACAGCTGGTTTTGGATCATACTGCTTCACAGTGAACTTCACCAGTTCAGGGAAGGGTTTGAGTTTCTGTCTGACCTTTTACGTGTATATTGTAATCTTGAAATTACTATGCCAAGGTTTTCTAGTCCTCATTTATTTAGAGGAAGAAAGAAGGAAACAGAACGCTTTTCAGGTGCACTCAGGTTTTACAGTGCTTCCTTTAAAAGTACTGTAGCAATTCTTTTGCCTGAGGATCCCATGCTGTAACCAAAACCCCTCCAGTTACTGATTGTCCTTGGCAATTTCAGCTGCTGCCATGTTTTTGTATCTCACTGTTAAACTTACAGTCGGTGTTTAAATGCGTTCTGTGACATGCTCATATCGGGGATCACTCCACTAATAGTTCATGTGCATAACTGTAGGGAATGACACTGTTCTTTCTGAGCTCCATGATGCTGTTGCTGGGGAATAAAACTGGGTTCTGGTGCTGAGCCCACTGGTTAAGAACATTGCTGCAGAGATCTGTATGTGATTGCGTGGTGGGGAAAGAATTAAACAAAAGCTGACTAGCTGTTCTACCCTCCTAAGTCGGATTTACAGGATTTAAGCAAATCTGCTGGAATTCCTTGATCTTATTCCTGTTCCCTACAGCTTGAGTATTATACCAGCCTTGGTATGATTGATTGCTGTTAACTACCTCTCTTTTTAGGCTTTCACTGAAGATCTCTGTGGAGGAAGCATTAGTATTTCAGCTGGTCTTGATGAATAGTAGTCCTGCCAGTTCAGGAGAAATGGGTTGAATTCCAGAGAGCCAAGAACATTTTAGAAGATGGTACTTCTTGTTCCAAAATTCAATACAGAATAATCTGGAAAAATCAAAACAGAAAGACTCTGTAGGGAATCATAGGCTTATTTCAATAGAACTGTGCTTGTATCAGGGTGAGAAGGTCATTAGTGTTAAATAGTGGACTTAGATATTTACAACTACTTCAAATTTGCCCATACAAGGAAGTTCAGTATCTATTTTACCTTATCTGTAGATACATTACCAATCTAAACTGACGTAGTTATATTGGTGTGATTTTCTTCTTTGTCTTCCTCTACCGTGGAGAGGGCCATGTAGCCATGAGAAGCTTTTGAGAATCCTGAGATCCACCTCTCTCAAGAAAATGTCATTATATGTGCCAGAAAACCAGAGGAGTCTTGGCAAGAAGGAAGTAGTTCCAAAAGAGGAACCCCCACAGAGGAGACAACTGCAAACCCCACTATATCTGTCCATAGTTCATCATTCTTCCAAAAACTGAATACAGACTTGGACTTCTGTTGCTTTCGGTGCACTGGCCTGTGTTTCCTTTAAAATTACTTTTTCTAGGAAATTACTTTATCTAGGAAAACCTTGCTTTGAGAGGGAAGCAACTCAGAAGCTACTGTGAGAGAAATCCAATGCAGGCTTTTGCTAGAGATTTTGAGCCTATGTGTCAGGGCTAAACAGTGAGTGTCTTAAGGGAGGGAGTTCTGAAGGAGCATCAATAACTTCTACTGCTGATTAAGGAGCAAATTGCTCTGAATGCTAGTAGATTTTCTGTTTGTGTCTCCAGTGTATCCTTTCCTTGTGTTTTCACTGGAGTAAGTGCTTTTAAATTCCAACACAGTCCTGTATTTTTATGTGTTCCTTTTTTACCAGTGCTGCCTGGGAGTTAAAGCACGCTGTTGCATCTAAGCTATTTCCATCCTCTGTTGCCCTGATCGTCTGCCTCCCTCACTACGAGGATATAGGAGATTTGCTCCTAATTAACTGAGTGCAATTCTTGGCCAAATGCACTCCAGAAAGAGCTCCTTCCTACCACTCAGCAACTCCCGTAAAAGATCCAGCAGGTAGTGAAATTTCCTTGCCTTTGATGACTGAGGATGAGGCAACACAAAACTGTCAAGTGAAGTGAGTAATGGGCAATAAGTGAAACAGGAAAAAAGGCTTTTTGTCAAGCCAATGGATTTTTAGCAGCCCATTCCTTGTTTTTATGCTGAAGTCTTTGGAAGTGCTACTTAGCAGACTTGGCCAGAAGTGAGCTCAGTTCTTAAGGTGACCTTCATGTTTCATGCTAGAGAATACCAGGAGTTAATCCTTCCAAAATCAGAATATAAGTATAGGAAATGCCCAATAGACTGAGCTGAGAAGAAGCACAGGGAACGTTTAAAAAAAATCTGAGATTGAACAGCTTCAAATGGGCCAATTCCCTTCTTAGATTTAATAGTGTTAAAAACTTGTTGTAGCCTCGAACCCTAATTCAGATGAAAGAGCAGTAAGCTAAAAACACTACCCCCCCCCATGGGATTGTTCATGGTAATACAATAATGATCAACCCTCTGGAAAGCATCCTAGCCAACTGAGGGAAAATAAAGCCCAAGGTCAAGGAGAAGCTTGATGGAAAAATCTCTGGAGGCAATACCCATGGGGGCAAGATGCAGGCTGAAAATTGGGAATGCACCTTGGAGAGGGCTGTGCCACCTGTGGGTTTTCCATGGGGAGATCTGGAAGCTGCTTAACGTAAAGTTTTCTGGGTCCCATTTACCTGGGTTCAAGTATGAGGAGAGCTGACTTCGGGAAGCTGCAAGCAGGTAATCGAGGAGGCAGCGGTGGGGGGATAAAGTCCAGATTCCTTCCAAGAAGTCTAATCTCTGGCAAGTGTGCGCGCACACGCCGTTTCCTTTCCCGGTTGTTGCCGGGGGCTTTGCAGTAGGACACAGCCCCAGCTCCTGGCCGTGCTGCAGCCTCTGTGCCGCGGGGAGGGGAGGAAGAAGCAGCTGCGGGAAGGAGGCATTGCAGGAGAGGAGCGGGCGGCCGCCCGGGCGCTGGGGAGGCGGAGGCTGGCGCTGGGAGAAGCGCGTACCTGGAGCACGGGGGAGGCTGGGCAGAGGAGGGGACAGCGGGGAGCGGAGCGGGCTGAGGGTGCGCCCCACCGCCTGCGCTCCCTCCTCCCGCTTTCAGATGCGCTAGGTAAATTCTGGGGCGTGCTGTCCTCCCTTATTTCTCTCCCATCTTTTTCCCCTTCCTGAAGAGAAGACTCAAGGAGAAGAGATGGGGAAAGGAAAGGGAAAGTGAGATTCTAAGATGCTGCTGGGAACTTTGATCCCTTCCCTTATATCCCTTTCCCTGCGTAGAAATGGAAAAGGCATCCTGCTGCCCCCGGTGCGGAGTGGCTAGCGTGGGAAAGCAGAGCCCCGCAGCTGAACGAGAATGTGATGCTTGAGGAACCTTCTGCCCACTTTTTACAGGAGGGATGGAGATCTCAAAAATACTCGGGCTCCTGGTGGAGCTCTCGAGTCTGCTATCCTGTCTCAGATGTGTGGAGGTAAGAAGTGGTTATTTTTCTATCTGCTTGTAAGAAGTCACATGTCTCTTTTAATATCCTCACTGTAAGTGGATCTTGTTATTACTGGAATATGTTTTCTAGAGCATCTAGGCAGCTGTGGTCTCTGGGAAGGGCTGTGGGGTTTAGGGAGGGATTTGTTTCACTGAGCATATGAAATTCAGGAAAAGAAACAAAGCAGGAAAGCAGGATGCACAAGGGCTTGCAGATGCTTTGGCTTGGGTTTCCTATGTTTCTCAGGCTCTGCAGTGACCCTGGCAGGAGAGATCCTTTGTTTCTGTTCTTTGCTGATTGCCCCTCTTGCTGTTGTGGACAGATGATTTATAGCCACACGGACCTGGGGCAATGCCTGCAGCACAGGCTGTTTGCACTTAATTTTGTTGGTAGTGATGGTCAGAGTTGGGATATTTTGGAAGCTGCTACAGGAACTGGCGACAACTAATATTTCACTAGAAGAGAAATGTATTCCTTGGACTGCAGTACTTTTGTTTATGGTCCGGCTCCAAAAAGAGTGGGTTCAGACTCTCATATATACCCTGTTATTAGTCTGACCCATCCCTCTATCACCTGCAGGTTTACTTGTGTGTGCAGGTGTACATTGAAAACTGGGAGCTGAGGGACCTGCTTTGTGGCTCAGTCACCTGTTTGGTGCACTCACAAAAGTGCAGCTTAGCTCACTTTCCTCTCTCTGCAAAGAGCTTTGAGATCCTCAGAGAAGTCCTTCAGCATTGTTGGTTCACAAACCATTATGTTGGCTTGCAGCAACCTGATACATGCAGGTAGATGGATTTTTGGCTGAAAAACGTTTTTCAGTTAAATGCTGGTTTATCTGTGCATCCCCTTGTGCATAAGCACCTCAGACCTGATCTGCTGTTTCTGAACCATGTCAGGAATTCGTCTTCCATATGCAGTGTCACATTCTGACTTCTGGAGGGTGATGCTGGAGCTTGGCCATGGTTGTCAACACCTGCTGGACGATATTCATAAGCTTGATTTGAAAATGTCATCTAACATGAGTAGGTGTTGTTCGTGTCAGGTTTCTGTGGGAATTACCTCTGCTTATTCCAGAAGTGGATTTGGTTTCATTCCAAATTTAAGAGAGGCAAAATTACTGCATTTTGAAGAAAACCACAATTGTTACCAATAGCTAGTATTCTTTAGCTGCACACCTCTGCTCTGTGAATTACAAGTCTTTGTTCATATAAAAGTATTAGAAATGTTCATTAAAAATACTTAGAAACTAATTAAACTACAAGGAGCTAGCAGAAACACGTACAGTTTCTTCTTTTCACTCTGGATCTGTGAAGATCTTGCATTTGCTTGCACACCTTGTACTGGTGTTGAGTTGAGATCCCTATCTCTCAGCCAAAAGTGAAGTTATAACCACGAAAAACACTGCCAATTAGAGGAAATGTAGTTTTGAGTCCAGACAAGATGCTAGAATTTTGAGGACTTTGTTTCATATTTTTTGCTTTTAGGTATTTAACCCTATTTGGATAATACCATAAGCCATATCATATTTTCAAGTATTAAAAACAAAATCCTCAAAAAGCCTTGTTGGATTTTCTTCTTTAGATGTTTCCAGCTTTGTACATAGATGTTTATTACCATTTTAACAGGTATCCTGGGGGCATCATCCTATCACGTAGATATATCTCTGTTACTGTGGCCATAGATGACTTGTCCTGTAAATGGAGAGAGAATGAGTGGTTACTCATTATTTTTCTTACTGATAATAATGATTTTCTTCTAGCTTTCCTTTCCATAGGCATCTCAGACTTCCAAGTCTGCTGGAAAAAATCAAGCAAAGCCCTGTAAGGTAGTGCTAGAGTAAATCTCTGCAGACCGGTAATTATTCATTTTGCTGTTAGTGGACAGAGCTATGATTAGATTTGAAGAGGAGCAATGGGGAAAGCAAGGAAGAGACTGGTTACTAGGGTGTGTTTGCCTAAAGCTGCAAAAAGCTGAGCTGCTTTTAGGACATGCTCATGTTTATTTCATTGGATAATCATCTCTCTGCTTTTGCTCTGCTTCTTTTCCCAGGCTTTCTTGGGATCCCAGCCCAACCAAAACCATTTGCAGAGTGCAGGTAAGAACAAGAAGTTATTAATTCAGTCATTGGGCAGATTCTTTCCTGCAGTGGTGATCTGAGACCACAGGCATGATGAACCACTGCTACTTGGCCTTCTTCCTTTTTTTCCATCACTTCTTCAATCTTTTCTGTTGCCTCAATGTCTGTTTATCTCTTTCACCAACATGGCCAGACCACTTTTGTGTCTTCGTGTCTAATGCTCTTGCAGTTCCCTGCTCCTCCCACATGTTCTTTTCTTTTCATCTGTTTCTCTGAAGGCCTTGGTCTTTTTTGCATATTCGCCTTTCCTCTGCTCTAATAACTACTGAATTCTCATACACCCCCCTCTGAGGGTCCCAGCTGATGCCAAGCATACGGTGTGTTTTCCAGACACCTACCTGCTACTGCTTCTCATTTGGTACCTTGCATTTAACCTTCAGCTGTCACTTCCCACCTCTTCTTATTGTGCTTGGCAGTGGCTAGGAGGCAAATGACATGATGCAAAGTTTCTCTCTACCCTTACTCTTTGCCCCATGTGTCCTTACTGCAGAAGGGTTTTCTGAAAGTGTTATCTTCTTTTTGTTTATTCAGTGAATAGAGCTGTAACTGTTGTCCCTTTCTCAGTCTACTCTTCCCTTGTTATGGGCTGTAAAAAGTCCACCCTCACACAGAACCTGGGTCTGTTTTCCCTCTTTTAATTTCAGGGTAATGAATGGAGAGATTTATTCTTTTGTTAAAGAGCATATTAAATTAATTATTTGGTATTTTTACATTAGATATTTCACATGGCCACTGGAACGTTGGCACCTATACCTTCCCCCCAGAATAAGTTCCCTTTCCCTTCCTATACATTGGCCAAGTTCAGATAAGCCAGTTTGTGATACTGATGTGTGTAGGGAACATATATAAAATGAAATACAATGGCATTTCCCACCATCCTGCTTTATAGAATGAAATTATAGCTAGTTTTAAACTCTTCTCATTTTCACTCAATTTGGACAGGCAATTAATATTCTAGAGAGCCTAGGATCAAATTTGAGAGTATCTTATTCAGGTAAGTGGGGAAGGAAGTGGTGGAGTGTACCATGCTCAAGTGGTGCTCCAAAATGAGTACATGTACTGGATGTACAGTAATGGGAACCAGTTCAAATTGTCCATGTTTGGGCCCAGATTTAACACTTTTCAAAGGTCTGTCTGAGCAGTTCTTTACTTCAGACCAAATTGTGGTTTAGATAGTGAGTATTATAAATATTCTTTGAGCAGTTGCCTTGAAGAGTGATAGAACTGAAATCAAGCAATGAATGGAGACTGCAGACACAGGAGGTGTTTCAGATAACCAGCTGGTACCCCCCACACTGAGCTTTAGTGTGTGGTGCCTTAGGTGATGCTAACAGCTCCCTTCCTGTGTGCAGCATCCAGCGGCTGTGCTGTCGGACCCCTGGGGTATTACAATGGCTCGCTGGCGGTCACTGAGGCGGGGGCAGAATGTCTCAACTGGGCAGAGTTCCCCGATTATGTCCAGCAGTACCCAGACCGTGGCCTGGGGGACCACAACCACTGCAGGAACCCAGATGGGGGAACGACACCCTGGTGCTTCTACCGGCTCTCGTCAGGGGCCATCGGCTGGTCCAACTGTGACTGTAACCAAGGTAAGGGCTGTGAGTCTCTGCCAGTGGCCAGGCTGCACTGCTCAGGGGCTCAGGCCAGAAATGTGTGCTGCACAGACTTGCAAGTGGCAGGTGGAACACCCTGTGAAAGAAGCACAGTACAGTAACTGTTCCGAATTGTTGAAATAATTAGTACTAGAGGCCAGCCTGTGTGGGAGAAGAACGTCTGTATATAGTAGGGGGTGGATTTAAGCTGCTGTAGCTGTAATGCCTTGTATAGATGTTTTATTCTCATACAAGGAGACTTTTTTTTTTTACTGCTAACTTATGCCGCTTTGAAAACAGTTTAAGTTATGTGGAAAACAACCCACTCCTGCTCCTTAAGTATCCGTATCAGAGCATTTCTCATGTAAGTGTAGCAGTTCAAATATAACAAGAAAAAATCTGTGGGTAGGTTTGTAAATCTTCTATGGCAAGGTAGGTCATAGGCTTGTGTTAAACTTCCTCAGTGCTGACACAAGGACTGCTGCTTACTTTGAGGCAAGCAAGAGAGCTGAGCTCTTTTAATGCACTGGTTGCCATGCAGCATTCTTGAAAATGTCCTCCTGTGTTCTGACCTTCCTTGCCTTTCATACATTTTGCAGAACAGTTGAAGCCCCAGTTTAATAAATGAATTGACAAAGTCTTTTCCCTTGCCAGTGGATGTGCTTTTAAAATGGCTTCATTAAAGGGAAGGATTCAAGTGTAGTGGTGCTGTGTGCCTGCACTGAGGTACTACAGACAGAAGGTGTGTCCTTCTCCAAGTACATAACTGAGCAAGGAGATGTGCTGTCTAAACAGTGGCAGATATTCGTGGTGAAGACATTTACATTGGCACTTGCTTTTCTTAGAGAAATTAAAGAGGATTCAGGTGCTGTTACTGAACATCTTGCTGTAGCAACCGTGACTCATACAGGTGAAGTGGTTGACAGAAATAGATCGGTGGAGACTCACAAGTAATTAGAGAGCCTGTCATTTCCATACACCTTTTCAAGGTAGCATGTAAAATCACCCCCATTTCGCAGAAGAAGAATCCAGGAGCTGTGGCAGAAGCCAGGTTTTCTTCTGATATTACCATGGCTTTGAAAAGAACCCTACCACCAGCATAGCACCAGCCATGCTCCTGAGCAGCCATTGCTGGGACTGGGAAGCTCCCACGTCCCATGCTCGTTCATACAAGTCACTTTAGTGCCAGCACAAGCAAAACAAGGATGAGAGAAGCCAAGTGCAGTTCAGCACAACTACATGCAAGTCCAAGACTTGCTGGTCTGAAACTTCCATCAGCAGATAGCAACTGAGTTTTTCGGTTTTTTTATCTCTTTTGGAAGGTGCTGTGCGGTTGGCTGAAGATAGTAGTGTGGAGCTGTACTTCAGTGGACTCTGGGGTACCATCTGTGCTGACCACTGGACTGACTGGGATGCCAGTGTTGTCTGCAGGCAACTAGGTCTCAGGTGGGAACCTCAATCTGGTTGCAAGAGTTACATGTTCGTGTGGCTTTTGAAAGAAAAGCATCTGTGGTTACAGTCCTCCTGGCACAGCGTGTTGGCTGGGGGAAAGGAGTTTGTTTTGTGGTCTACTTTTCCACTTTCCAGGGTCCTTTCCTACTGTTTTCTTTCTGTGGCTATGCCCAACCCAATCAGCATTTGCAAGAATTTTTTAAAACAATATTTTCTGCTTCATGCTCCAGACTGTGATGAGTGAGCTGTGAGATTGCATCCCCTTTTTACTGTCACCAGCTGCACTTACCATAGTGATCTAATAGAAATTTTAAGAGTGTGAACCCTCTTTGGGTATCTGAGATTTGGATGCTTGAACTTCCAAAAAGCGAGGAGATAAGGTCTACATAGAAGGAAGAAGGTGAATCAGATATTGGGATGTTGGAGTCTATTGATGGGTTTGTTCATTGCTCTCAAATGAGGGTGCCATTTCTGTCTACACCAACTCCTCTGCAGTAAGTAGGCACACAAAAGGGTTAGGTGGTGGGAAGTGCTTTGTGCTTGCTTGTGCTTTCCCATTAGACTGTGAGTGACCACCCCTTTATGCCCTTCCAATCAACTGGGCACACTGGGAAGTGAAATGTCACAACTAGACTGGAGAGTCACAACATTGAGGGAAGTTGTAAGTCAAGCTGTGCTACAGCATTTCATTGCTCTGTTGCATTCTCTGTACCAGTGAGATCGGCACAGCTGGGAAGAAGAGTCATCCTGGACCATGGCCTGTTCCCCTGCACCTGCAGTCAGCAAACTGCCATGGGGATGAGAAAGCTCTGCTGCAGTGTGGCTATCAGGAAGCTGTGTCGGGAGCTTGTAAACAGGGGAGTGCCATGGTAACTTGCGTTCCTCCAGAAGGTAAATATCCAGAGGAGGTTTGCTCCCTGGTTCTTCCATCAGTGTTGCTGATAAGAAGTAAAATCTAAGGTCACAAAACTGTGGAAAAAAAATAATTGGAAAATGTTCTTCTTTCACTTGCTATGTAGGTGGTTTTCTTCCTTCTACTGGAAAATTATCTATCCCTTCCCAATCCCAAATACTCAGAATGGGTATATGTCTACAGTCACTGAGAGATGACTGTTGTGTATGACCACATCCCCTTTTTATCAAGCCAGGTTTTTCTCTGCAGGCAGCAAACTCCCAGTCACCACAGCAGCCTGTTAGAGCATCCTTGGAGCAGCAATACCCCATACTGTGGGCTGCAGTCACGGGAGCTTATGGGGGATCTAGGGAGGTGGGTGTGGTAAGAGAGCATCCCCAGAGCTCCTGTGGCCAGTGAGTGGTTCTACACCCTGAACTGCTGGATGTGTGTTGTCTCTGTCTTGTTCTGTTGTGCTCTCTTTCCCTTTCTTGAAGCACAGGTGTAGGTGCCCCACTGCGTATTGTTGGGGGGAAGGAGAGCTTTGAAGGGCGAGTGGAGGTTTACCACGATGGCAAGTGGGGCACCATCTGTGACGACCAGTGGGACGACCGGGATGCTGAAGTAGTCTGTAGACAGCTGGGACTCAGGTAATTTCCCTGCTGCATGTCATGGAGTAGCAATAGAAGTAAGCAGAATGAAGAACATGAGAGCATGACCGTTCATTATATCTCCATTATATGGAGATACAGAAAAACTCCGGGAAAGATAATTCTGGACTGGTCATCCTGTAAAGGGATTTTGTACTTCATTCCTGTCAGTTTTATGGATTTATACTGTGAAAAAAAAAGTTGGTGCACGCCTGTCTAAGGATTGTTTGTGTTGACCCCCGTTCATTATTTTGGCAGACATATCCTAATGCAAATCTTGTTGGCCTCAGTGATAACTTCTCATGGTGATTTCCATATGTGGGCTGCAGTTGCTTACTTGGTTAAGTTTAAACACCTCCAGTTTCACTGACTGCCCTTATCCTCTTCAGATGGGAAAGCAAGAGAGAGCACCTCATTCTTCTGTGTGCTGTTCCATGCTTGGGAGCTGTTGTATCCTGAGCATTCTTGAAAATCACATTGGTACAGGATTATTTAAAATAGATGATTCAAGTTTGAGATCCCTCAAACTTTGGGAGTTTCACCTGTTACTGAGATTGTAACTGAAACTAATATTACATCATTTTCCTCAGAACTCTCCATGTGTCTGAACTGTTCATGTTGCAGGCACATTTTTGTTATTTGTTGGAAGGGCTTCTTACAAACTTTCCAATAACCTATTTCAGTTAACAGATGGCAACTCCACTGTGTCAGGAACACGGATGGTCTATGGGAGGACTGTGACCTAGCATAGGAGAGTCCCTGTGCAAGGCAGAATCTTAGGGCACAAAACTGTGACCTTCCTTACTGAGCATATGTGTTTGTAATGTTTGCAGTGGGACCCCAAAAGCCTTGTCATGGGCTCACTATGGGCAGGGATCTGGCCCAATCCTGCTGGATGAAGTGCAGTGCTCAGGCAATGAACTCTCACTTGACCAGTGCAAGAAGAGTGACTGGGGACAGCAAAACTGTGACCACATTGAAGACGCTGGGGTCTCCTGTGACCCTTTCACAGGTACAGATCTACAGCTCTGCCAGTCAGATGTGGTCGGTCGTAGCCTCGTGTTACGGGGCTGGCTCAGCAGGTAACCCCCTCGTTCAGGGTTCTGCAGAGCTTCTATGTATGGCTCCCACAAGGGCTGCCAGATGTGGAGGCAGAGAGCAGCAGCAAATCGGAATAGACCAGAGGCAGACTTTGGGGTGTTCCTATTATTTTGTTTGATTAGTATGGAAAAGCTGAGGTGAATCCTCCCCTGACAGATGGGCATGTTCATGAACAATGAACATTTGTTTTTTTGAGTACCCAAAGATATCTGTGTCTTTGGTTTCTTTCGGTCACGAGCTGCACAGAGACTTATCAATGGTGCACAGGCTGTTTCTTTTCCCCCCTGCAGAGTGCTGACCTTTCCTTCTCTCCCCCTTGCAGAGGGCACTGTCAGGCTGGCTGGTGGCCGCAGCCCCAGCGAAGGCAGGGTAGAAGTTTATTACAATGGAGATTGGGGCACAGTTTGTGATGATGGCTGGACAGACCTCGGTGCCCAGGTGGTCTGCAGGCAGCTGGGCTTCAGGTAGGACTGAGAGTGTGTGTAGTGTCTGTGCTTCCTAATTTCAAGGTTTAGATTCCATCACCCTTCACTGGGATAGGCTGAACCTTAATCCTTCAATGCTGTCTTTACTAGAAGGTTTATTACCATTATACAGCTTAATTCAGGAAAGACCAATAGGTATCTGCATCTTTTCCAAGGGAAAAAAAAAATCTTTATTACCTCTCACCTCAGCCTGTTTTGAAAGCAGATAATAGGCTTGATACTTACTGATGTACCCCTCAGCAAAGTCAGAAAGTTCTCTTTAGTACTCCTTAAATTTGCAGGTGTATCAGCTCACCACTGCCACCCCCTCTGCTCTGTCAGTGAAACAATATCACCCATCTGCTCCATCAGCTAAATGTATCACCTGCTTCAGTAGCTGAACAAAGACCATCTTGGCAAAAAAAGTGTAGTAATAGGGATTTTCTTTCAGCCCATTGCTGCACTGTTGTCCTTTCAGGTATGAGTTTGGAGAAGATTTAAAATCAGGATACTGTAGTCTTGGAGCCAGTAAAGTGGGGGGTTGTGGATTTTTTAATATGATTACGGTCTCCTTGTAAAATTTCAACTTTATAGACTGGAAAAAGATTAAATTCTTCCCTTTGAGTTCAGCTGCATACTGTGTTTCTCATCTCTTAAAAGTTTGTGGCTTTCTGCATTTCAATTCCAGGTGGCTGATTCCTATAAAAAGAAGTAGAATTATTTAAATATTGATATTTTTGATGCCTTCTCTGCTAGCCCCTCCCCAAATTGATGTACCTGCTGTCATGTCTGCAAAGCAGCCTCTGCTGGCCCTCTGTACTATGACTGTGCCTTTGATCAGACACTAGAAAATGGACTGGTCTGAGCAGACCTCCCTGAAAACTGAAGCGGGTGAGAGCTGAAGGTGCTTGGTTGCCATTCTGTGTGTTGCTGAGGGGTTCAGGTCAGGAAGCTCCAATATCATAGTTAAGCTCTGCAGGGGAGTTTCTGTTTGGGTCTGAGCTTGGGTCCCTCTGTGGCATTTAGAGTTTTAATGAATCTTGTGTTATGTTCTGTTTCCTTCCTCTAGTGGTCCTGCTGCCCTGGCCTCTGAAGGGGACTATGCTGCTGGCCAAGGCTTTATCTTACTGGATGATGTGGCATGTGTGGGGACAGAGCTGTCCCTCCTGGACTGTCCCCACAGCAACTGGGGGCAGCATGACTGCTCACATGCCGAAGATCTGGGAGTCCGCTGTTCCCCAGAAAGCAACACAGTCATGGATGGCAGCCTGGGTAACTCACCTTGCCCTTGCCCTGGATGGGGGGAAAGTGTCTGTTCCCTTGGAGGCTCTGGCAGATGTGGGAGTTTTCCCTGTGCTGTTTCAACGAGGGGTCTGCTTTTTGAGGAGGAATGAACCCTGGCTGTCTTGGGGCAGAGCCACAGAGCTGTGGCTCCACCAGGCCTACAGCCAGACCAGCAGATAAATGGAAACTGGAGAGAGTTGTGTTGGCAGCCTATGAAACAATCCTGAGGGGCTGAGGGACAGTGGATGCCTTTATGTGCAGGGACCCCTTCCTCAAGGGACTCCTTTAACTAGACCCTTTAGGAAACTGGTGTAGTTACATTAGTGTCACACCTTGCCAAGACAAGAGGACTTCAGATGCAAGGGGCTGTTGTGTGAAAATTTGTACTTCCTTGTGTGGATGGCACACTTTTAATTCAAATTATGAGGGTATTTCGAGTTAGCATAATGTCCTCATTTATATAATGCCCGATACTCTCCCTTTTCTTTACTACAGGAGACTTTCCAGTTTGTCAGACATTTGTTATTGAAATAGTTGGCATCCAACATTTTTGTTTTTCCTGGATGTAGAACTCTTCTCTTGCTTAGAGTACTGTAATAGTTTCATAATTTAATAGATTTCTTTCCCAGGCATGTTTAAGCTTGTCTACTCTTGGCTCAGGAGTTAATAACTTTCCTTCTGTTCTTGTTCTCCTCTTTACTCAGCTTTCAGAATATGATCCACTGATGATTTCCAGTATGTATTAAATAAGTTATTATGTATGTAGTCTTCTGATTCAGCACAGAGGTAAAATGTCTTCATATAGACATACTTCTTTATTATTTTTCTTTTTTTTTCTAATCTTTTTGTTTTAAGCTTACTGATGTCTGGGATTCATCTTTTTCTGTAGAACCCAAGTTTTGGACACCTGACACTTCTGGTGGTTTTGCTTGCAGCAACCCATGTGTTTTTTCCTTCAGGGCCTCCCATACGGCTGGTGGATGGAGAAAGCACCAAGGAGGGACGGGTTGAGGTGTTACTGAATGGGCAGTGGGGCAGTGTCTGTGATGACGACTGGACGGACAGAGATGCCACAGTGGTTTGCAGGCAACTGGGGTTCAGGTAAGAGCTGTGGTACATGTGTCCTACAGATAGAAACAGCTCTCAGGGGGAGCACTTCTTTCTGGACTTGTTTCTCAGGGCTTAGTTTCTTAGTTTTGGCATATGCATGAAGGAGTAGGGTCCTGCTCTCACTGTACTACTGTCTGTGTGTGCAGTGACACATAAATATTATTCCTCTTAAAATGTGCTGGTGCATCAGGTTCATTTGCCTCCTGCTTACTGCAGATTAGCCACCCTCTCTCTAATTGCAGTGGTACCGCAAAAGCCAGAGCAATGGCTTATTTTGGCGAAGGCCATGGGCCCATCCATCTGGACAACATAGAATGCAGTGGCACGGAGCACACCCTGGGGCAGTGTGCCAGGTCTGACACCACGATTCACAGCTGCTGGCACAGTGAGGATGCTGGTGTGATCTGTGACTACGTGGAAGAGAAGGTCCAAGATATCAGAAGAACAGGTGACATGCCCATTTCTTCTATGCAAGAACCTGGTGTTCCAGTTGTAGGATCTCTGCATGTTTTTATGGTTTTTCCCTGTCGTTCTTGTCTCTGGCTGAAACTGCACCTACAAAATAAGCACATCCTGTCCTGCATCTCCTACTTTTTCCTTGTTTTCATTGTCTCTTCTTAGGAGCACGGGGTGCTCCAGACTAGTCTGAGGAGCTCCACCCATGTCAGGCCTTTGAGCCTGCAGAACTTCCCCACAGCAAAGTACCCTTCCTTAGAACCCTGCAACCATGAGCAAGCTTTGGTGTTTAGAGTACTGAGGATATATGTATAGGTCTAGGTCCCATTCCTGGCATAAGACCATAGAGACTGTAGGTAAGCACCTCCACTGAAACTGCGGAAATCTATGGGACCAAATCTTCAATGAATTCCACATGCACAACACAGTGCAGTCGATTACCTTGAGGATTAATGCCCTCAGAGAAGGTGAATGGTATTTGGCTCTGTGACAGCAATGCTGATACTTTAACTGAAGGTCCCCACACAACTGCTCTAACTTCACTGTGCAGGTCCAGAGTCTGGTGTGTGTGGGATGCGCCTTCTGCACCGTCGCAAGAAAAGGATCATAGGTGGAAACAAGTCTCTCAGGTACTACCCTGTAATTGTTGGGAGAGCTAGACTGATTCTGGCTTTCTATCAGGCTCTGGAAATTGCCTGGCAAATGTTGAGTACATTGATGCATTTTTACTGGTGATTTTTGAACTTGATTTGAACCAGTGGGCTTATCTAGGGAAGAATGCACACCAGCTGAGCCCAGATGGAGCAGAGTGGATGGGAAGAAAGGAAAACGGCTCCCATGTGTGTGACATCTGTTATTTCTCTGTTTCTTCTTCAGAGGTGGTTGGCCATGGCAGGCCTCACTTCGGCTGAAGGGTTTTCGTCGAGATACTCGTCTGCTGTGCGGGGCAACACTGATCAGCAGCTGCTGGGTGGTGACTGCAGCCCACTGCTTCAAAAGGTGTGTTTGGGAGTGGGGAGCCCCGAGGGATACTCAGTGATGAACACGATAACCTCATATGAGTTTATCCTCCCAGCCCAGTGGAACCACATGAGCAGAGTTTATAAACCAAGACCTTCAGGTTATGATCGTGTGATCTTGGAGTACTTACGGGGATGACTCAACATCGACTTGCTTTATCCTTCACTGCTTACACCTGGCCTTTTAGCTTTGAGGCTTTACAACTTAAAGGGAACCAGCATTTTGCCATTCTTAAGTGCTTTAAAGAACTGTGAACAAATCAGTTCACAACCCTGTTGTAACTATTATAGCCATCTTAATAGGAAAAAAAGTCCTGTGCATGGTAGATGACAGGGGACACCCATTGACTGCAACAGCTGACATGATCAGATCTGCTAAAGAGGTCCCATGGTCCTGCAGCTGGCACTGATTTATCAGTGTGGTGTGAGGAGGTGGTTCAGTCTTGTAGCAACTGAGACTTGTTTCCTTCTTAGTAGGAGATTCTGAATCTCTTTTTCTCCAGGTTCGGTGTTGATGTGCGGCGCTACCTGCTGCGGGTGGGCGATTACCACACAGGCGTGAAGGATGAGTTTGAGAGGGAGCTGCCTGTGGAGCGGATTGTCCTGCACAGGAACTACTGGGCTGGCAGCAATGACAATGACATAGCCCTGGTCCGGGTGCGGGGCAGAGAAGGGCACTGTCTCTCCTTCAATCGCCATGTTCTGCCCGTCTGCCTGCCCGACAGGAAAGAGAGGTCTGACATTAACAGGCAAGCCTGCATCATCTCCGGCTGGGGAGACACAGGTGAGTGGTGGTGCTTTGAGGGGCAAGAAAGGTGGGGGAGTCTGGGTTCAGAAGCCTATATGGGCCATTAATTTATATCAGCTCAAGGCTGTGTTCTCACTGCTTCCATTGTCTGTGCCAGTGCGTGGTGTTTAGGAGTGGGGAGGTGAGGTGGTTTTTGTGCCATTGTGTCTTCCTCTGATTTTGAGGCTTCTTGAGTCTGCTCAAGAAGCTTTGGTTTCCATAGCATCGCTCTGAAGCAGAGACCAATGCTGCTGTCTGTCCTCTCTTTCTTCCCATTTCTGCACATGTTTTTGTCTACAGCAGACCCCTTAGGGAGCCTGTGCAGAGCTGCTGTACCAAGCCTGTGGGAAGCCCTCATGTTTCCATGATCTCCTGCCTTCTTCATGATACTATAGTAGTGAAGTGGAGCTTGGAAGTGAGGTGGAAGGACTCTCTCTCAGACTCAACCTCCCTCAATATTGCTGCAGGGACAGATGAGCTCTGAGGCTGGTTTCTGCACTGGATTCAAAAGGAGCTTGTACCTGTCCACTGAGCACATTGCTATGAAGCTTCCTAGGTTAAAGAGAGCTGGGAGGCCTTTCTGGGGCTGCCATGACTGGAGCAAAGCCATATGTTTATCAAGACTTGCTGTCAAAAGCCCCAGGAGCTTGTCTGTTGACTTTGGACTTGCCCATCCTTACCAGCTTTTTCTTTAGCTATTACCCCAACTGTTTAACTGCAAGTACACATTTGCCTTTGGAGTCAGTTGTGCCAGTTGCACATGTCACTCCAGGATGTCTGGTGAGGATCAAGGAGCAACTTAGCCATGTAACTGACTTAAGCTGTGCTGGGGCTTAGTGGCTAGAATCCCTCCCACGCACAACACCCAGCTTTCCAAGTGAGAGGAGCAGTTACCTACTACCTTGTGAACTTACGTAAACCTTGAGCACAGAAAGGTCATACTCAAATATAGCACATGAGCCTTATGTTCTGAGCAACCTTGGGGTAATAAAGAGATTTGATCAAATAGAGACAAATCTGGCCAAAGATGAAGTGAGCTCCCTTTGAATAATATTTGAATGCCTCTGAAACATCTTCTAAAACTTCTCTGAGGATTGAGCACTTAACAGTTATTACTGCATTTATTCACTTGAGAAAACAGTCCTTGTTTTACTGAGGAGGAAGTGGAGGTTCTGAGAGGTGAAATAAATTGAATAAGGTTCAAGTTGCTTGTTGGCAGAACCAGGAGTAAGACTCATCCTTTGATCTAACCTTTTTCTCCAAACCTCTTCCCATATCTTTGATCTTACAGCTCTTTTTTTGTGGTCTGGCTTGGCATCGCTGTTTTCTGCAGTTCTGGTGGTTCAGAGATGCTGAGCTCAGCATATTTCTGTGCTGCAGACTTGACGTGAAGTGTACAAGTTTTTGTAGGGAGCACTGTTGCTCCAGGTCGCTGCTGTAGTCTGCACATGAATCAGTCTGGCTGGTCTGTTCTGTTCCAGGGAAGTCCTATTCAAGAACGCTGCTGCAGGGGGTGGTGCCTCTTCTCCCGCGGGAAGACTGTGAGGTCCGCTACGGGCAGAAGTTCACTAACCGCATGATTTGTGCCGGGAACCTCTCTGAAGATAAACGGGTGGACAGCTGTCAAGGGGACAGTGGAGGGCCACTCATGTGTCAGAGGTCGAATGGGCGCTGGATCATTTTGGGCATCACTTCTTGGGGGTATGGCTGTGGTCGGAAGGATTCACCCGGTGTGTACACAAAGGTCAGCAAATTTGTACCCTGGATCAAGAGAGTGACCAAGCTAAAATGAAAATGACTGGGCTCTAGGAACTTCAGCCTATGGTCCTTTTGCCCTGCAGCAGCAGAAGGCTGAGGCTTCTGGTTGTGACTGATGGAGATTTATTTTGTCATTGGACACTGACAAAGGACTTTGATGTAGAACTGGAAGAAAACCAGTTATGACTGATGCTTTAGTCTTTGATTTCACTTTAGTCTGTAATCTGTAAGCAGAGAAAGCAGGTGCACACTGGTAACAATGATAAGTATACATTGCCCTAAGTATCTGAGTCCCGTAATGCAGTGACACTTGTCCTTTGCCCTGGCACACAGAAATGGTAGAAGCAGAGAGATACCTGCCACTGAAAATCTATTCCTGTTTGTATGTCTGGACAGTTGAAAAATGCTGCAAGGAGAGGTGAGATGCTTGGAAGATGGCACCGGGTGCTGGCATAGTGGAAATCTTCAGATATTTTTTCATAACAGCTCTCTTCAATTCCAGGAATCAGATGATTTGAGCTGAGCTGGGGTTTTTTTCTTCCCTGTTATGTCTCTAGGGGGAACCTTTTCTCTTCTGAATAGTATGTCTGCTTCCATATGATCCCTTTCAAGTGTCTGCCCCTGCTAAGAGATGCTTGTCCTTTCTGCTGTAATCCTCTGTCACACGTTTCTAGCTGCCAGATGCTACGGTTTTATTGCTGCTTTCTCACTATAGTGGTTCTTTGTGTGTGTTTGTTTTCTTGCTTCCTTAAAGTAGCATCTCCTAGTTGTTGGTGTGGGAGTAAATCTTCATTTTTAAGAGACAGTAGCTTTCTTGCCCTTATGATTACTGTGAAGAACTTAAAAATATGACCTCAAGTGGCTGAATAGACATGTTATTTTTCTTTAAATCCAAATGTAACGTTAATCTCAAACATTCAGGTGTTGAATCATGATTTAACAGCACTGTAGGGACTTCCTCTTGGTAGCTTAATCACCACAGTTATTAGCTGCCCTTTACTTGTGCTGTTAGTCTTTAATATCTCTGTGTTCACAGTTCTCCCATGAAACATGGAATTACTCCTGGGGTATAGATACACCTCAAGCAAATTACTCACTCCTTGTGAAAAACAGTAAGTGTGCTGCAAAGCAGCTTCCTGCTTTCCTGAAGTGTGTCCTATTCTTGAAACCTCTGGGCTACTCTTTCTTTTTTTCTCTTCTTTGCACTATTTCTCTTTTCATTCCTCTCATTGGGAGTAAACTGGCTTAACTCAAGGGTATGCAAGCACTGTCATCAAGCTGTAGTTCTCAGCCTGAAAAGAAATAATGCTGAGAGAAAGCAGGGATTATTGAATACTTCAATTTCTTCCTTCCATCTCATCCAAACAAATGAACAGAGTTCCCTCTTATGCCTTAAGCAGTTTTTAAAGTTAATTTATTATTCTTGGGTAGGTAAAAAAATATAAAACTAGACAGAAGGGCTAAGTGCATTAACAGCTGTGCAGTGCACAGTGTCTTCTCACTGTGTATAGATAAGCCAGAGAGAAGACAGGTCTGCTCAGGAGCAGAAAGCTTTGATGTGTAACAAAGGACCCAAATGTGGAGTAATAATACAAGATGGGACACGTGGAACTTGTGCCAGATGTGCATGTTTTGGGTTTGCTCATGCACTGCAGGGTAGGCAATCACTGGGTCTGGCACTGACCTGCTGCCTGGAAGGTCTGCACTCAAGGCACTGAGGTGTTCAGTATCTAGGCATTACAAAGGCAAGAACAGAGGGCAGAGCACAGCCTGTGGATTAGCCCTGTCATGTTACAGGGCATGTGGTGACAGAGTTCTAGAAATCACCTTGGATTCAATAAGTAGTGATTGCCTAAAGCTTTAATTTGTCTTCTGTAAAATAGCTGACCTGGCTAGGTGGCTGATTTTTGTGTGAGAATGCTAAACTAAACAGTTCCATTTACCCTCTCCAGGGGTTATAGAAAAGTTGGGTTACCAGTATTGGAATGGACTGTTTAAAGATCCTGCTTGGAAACTTTATTTTAACAAAGAATTGTAGAAATCTTAAAAACATGCAATGTCAGAACCCCTGCAAACTGGCCTTGGAGACAAACCTGATCTGTTTGTGCCTCTTCTTGAGGTCCAGAGTGTCTTCAGTGCAGCTTGTGCTGGTAGCCCTGTCTGAAGTGCCAGGCTTGATCCCTTGGCAGCACTGTGCCTGGCTCCACACTAGCTGTGTTGTCCTATGGCTGCTGGCAGAGAGTCTCTAAGATGCAAGCTGCAGACTGCTCCTTATCTCCCAGGAATTAAAATGGCAGGAGGACTGAAGGCAATTATGTCACAGCCCTCTGGTCTTGTAGGGGATTAAATGCCAAGTTCCACACTGGCAGCAACAGTACCTGTCTGGGAAATGTGGAGGGATTTGGCTTTTACCTTCAGCCTCCCCTGAGCCAGCATGCTACAGCAGCTCAAATGGAGTTTCTGTGCCTTGGGTGCTGTCACATTTCTAGTTTAACTTGGTTTGATCTTTCAGTTTATACCCATAACCCCAACAGGCATAGAAACACCAAAAGGACTGAAACTGTGAGGTTATTTCCCTAAGCCTACTTAGCAGATGGCCATTCAGCAGTTACAATAAATTACCATGTAGCACAAGCGAGACACAGGCCTTGCATTGTCTTCTGAAATTCCCATGTTCTAGTTCAAAATATTTCTTTCTCCCAGATCTTATCACCGTGAAAGCTTTGAGAATCCTTGTAATTTAACATATCCTGAGTCCTGCATGAGCCAAGAGGAGAGAAGGAAGTATCCAATCTCCTTCCACTGCTTTTACACCCTACTGGTGCTGTAGATGAGCCTGCCAATACTCTCTTCCATTGTCCTGGCCTGTTTCAGAGCACCACTAGTGCTCATTGCTGTTTAACTGGGACTGTGGTCCAAACTAAACGCCTGTGCCATGCCACTGAGGCTTACAAGAACTGCCTGGCTGGATGAGCAGCACTCAGCCACCACAGGACTGTATTTTGTAATATTAGCAAGCAGCAGATGTTCCAAAAGGTAGTATGTGTGAGTTTGTACTGAACAAGTTTTAACAACCTTTCCTTTTGGAGAATTTTGCTCTTGACCCATTTAAATTAATTACTTGCATTACTATTATTATTATTATTAAAAATTGAAGTACAAGTACTTGGTCCCATAGGTGTTGTTAAAACACTGCACTATCCTTTTGTAAGTCCTTGTTTTTTCTAAGTATAAGAGCTTATATCCCTAACTTTTAAAAACCTATTTAATGTAACCAACCTTCATCTTCCATATAAATGTTTAAATTTTTAATTTTGTGTTTAATCAAACTAAGCTCTTTGTCTCAATATTTTCTGGCAATGAAAACCAATGCAATTTTATTCTCCATAGCACATAATTTCTTTTTATGGTTCCTGAATTAATTGCCTTTTGTTTTTATTGAATCCCATTTGTCCTTGTGTTCTCAGCCATAAGACGAACTAAGGAGCCTGGTTTTATATTCTCTGTTGTTCATTACTCTAGAGATAGTTCTTTTTCTCAGACTGTGGCTTCTCTGTCTCTCTTCAACCCAAACTGTCTAGGTGTCTCATAACATGCTGAACTATCTTTCCCTGTCTTCTCTTTCTGCTGGATCTTTAAACTTTGGTAACCAGAACTGAATGCAGTTTGCCAGGGGAGGCTGTGTCACCTGCTGATTATTTGAGTACAATTTTCTATAGTAGGCAATACTGTAAGTGATTTTAGTGCTGTATGTCTGTATGCTGGAGCCAGCCTTAAACTTGCTAGTGCGGTCTTTGTGGCAGCCTTGTTACAAGGGGATGAAAACCCACTGAGGTTAGTTCTCCCCGTGTCTCAGGCAGGTGCAGCAGTTGCACTGAGCTCACAGCAATTGCTGCAGGTATATCTGGGGACCTCTGGGCAGGGAGCACCTGTAGAGCTTTGCCTTGGCTGACACTGGTAGGGCTGGTTCAGTCCACCTTTGCAGCATCACTCTGTTGGATAAGGCTAATGCAGATACACTGTTTCGAGGAGCTAAGAGCTCAGTCAGTGTTGCTGGTGGCTGCACTGTGCCATGTGGATGCTGTGAGACGGTTTCCCATAGCAGTGTGGCACATGCTGGTTATGTGAGAAAGGGAACATCACTATGACTGGCGAGGAGCATTGGCAGAAGGAGAAATGTGGTTGTGGTAAGGGCCTAAAGAGCAGCTATTAGTGCTCCAGGTATCCCTCTTCAAGGGAAAACTCCAGTGCTACAAAGGCTAACCCAGTGCTGGTGTCTTCCTGACCTGCAATGCCTGCACTGGTGACCATCCATGCTTTGGCCATCTGAAGCTGGATTAAAAATTTATCCCTTTGCTGTGGCTGAACACTGTTCTGATGATTTCTATTAATTATGTTCTATGCTGTAATTAATCAGGCAGCTGTTTATTAACCTGAACAGGATGTTGATTACCCTTGTAATCCTTGTAGCAGAGAATAACAGATCAGTTTTTCAAAGGCATTAGTGGAGGCATTGGTGAGGAACCAGGAATGTGGATATTTACTGTCTCAGGGGTAAGAGAGGTAGGTCTGCCTTTTGTCTGTCTTCCTTTTTTTTTTCTGAAGCCAATATTCTGAAGTTTCTTCACCCCAAAAGAGCTGCAGTGATCCATCAACCACTTGAAGACAGGTTTTGATGTGTATACTCAGCAATCAGATGAAAGCTTTTGAGAGATGAACTGCACTGTGGTATTTAACGCTATCCCGATAGACTTGCTGGGAGTTCCTTGCAGATGGAGGGACCAGAATCAACTCTGGTGGTAACCAACTGCTCCTTGTAGAATCAGGCACTGTGACCTGGACCAGTGCATGTCTTCTGGGCTCTATTTTTACTTGTTTGGGAAAATATTTAGTTTTCCACATCAAGAAGAAAAACTCATTTGTGTAATAGCCCATTCAGTCCTATTAAAATCCCTTTCTACTGAACAGGGGCTGAGTACCTCTGAAATCAGTCAAGTGCCAAAACTGTCATGTCCCTTGGATCAACACCAATGGCTCACAAGGTATGCTAATAAATGGATTATACCGTGACTGTGTGGGGCTCTGTCTTATTTTTAATAAAGGAATCTGTTCCAAGGGCAGGTTTTAGGATTTTTTTCAGCACTGAATTAAACTAATTTAATTTCTCTATTAATGTTATTTTTAGAGAAGCTTCAACATGCTAAAGCATGTTGCAAAGTCAGCATCATGTTAGCTGCCACTGCAATGACATGCAACAGTTCTTCAAAGGCCACATTTGAACAGGTAAGGAGCGGGTCAACTCATTGCACTTAACAGACTTTATTTAATATATCAGCTAATTTGTTGTTATAGGTGATCTTTCCATACAAACTTGTTCAGTATGGCTTAGTCTCCTTTCAGTCTAGGATTCATGTGTCACCCCTCTAAGAGCCAAAGCCAGCCTCTGGAAAAGTGGAAATGGGAGAAGGGAAATGCAGTCTGAATGAGCCATTGATTCAAGAACACTGTTGTACTCTATCCTGCCGCCCCACTGCTGAAACTTGAATTTCTGTACAAAAAGGCTTTTTTGAAACATAGTCCAGCTCCTTGCAAGGTGTGTCCTGACTTTCCCAAGTTATTAGGGTTAGACTGGGGCTTGGTGTAGCTGATGCCTGCAGACTCCAAATATTATAGTGTGTAACGTTTTGTGTGTACTGACTCCAGCCTGCTGTTGAGAACTGACAACACTCACTGGAGATAGAACTGCTTGTGGTTAATACTTTCTTTGCTTCATGTCTGCCTTTGGGGTTTTCTAACCCACCTACATTTCCTCTCTTGCTTGTGCAAAAGTGGGAAGCAGAGTGCAGGCATTTTAGTTGGCTTTCCATGTGTCAGTGGGCACTGGTTCATCACATCAGTTTTGCAGCGCTCTTCTGTAGTCACTGCCAGGGAAAGAAATAACCTTGAAGCTGAGCTGTGGTTAATGTTACAAGTCTGTCAAATGTTGTTTTGTATTAAAGCATTCGACTGCTGCCTTCATGTGGTAAAAAGGCTTGGGAGGAGTGTTTGGCATGAGTTTACTAATTTCAGATTAACAGCTGTAGGATAGCTTTGGATTTTAAACTGAAATATGAATCAGGAGAAAACTGGGGTTTACTTCATCCTTTACTTTACTAGGATAGCTACCATATTCTTTGGGAGGCAGGAAAGAGGGCATTCAGGTATCACTGCTGATATTAACAAATTCTCACTTGGGTACGATTTCCTCCTTCTAGTGGAGGAAGACAGGATACTACTCAAGCTGCCTTGTGTTGCTGGGCTGGGTCCTGTGCCACTCTTAAACTGGCCTGTCTAGAAGGGGTACCTAGCTTTGTTAGGAGGTTTCTGTGAAATGCTATTCACTTGAAAGGAAGAAACAATTGCCTTGGATCAGCTTTACCAAAAGGAAGCTGTGAAGCTGTGTGGCTCTGATGTCAACTAAGCAAGAGGCCTTGTTCCTCCTATCCCTGTATATCTGCACTGGCCTTCGTTGCAGACATCAGGGCATCTGCAGCTCCAGGGGCTGAGCTGGAACAGATGGAACTCAGTGCTGGACTCAGGTTCAGTTGCTACCCAACAGAAGAAAGAAGCGGGCAGGAATTAAAATTTCAGCAAATTAATCCTGTTGGGAGGTGTTTGCTGAGCATGTTTTGATTCCCAGCCTCTGCCAGCCCTGGGGCTCAGGAGCGTGTCAAAGGTTTCAGTGAGAAGAGGTCATGCAGTGCTGTGTTGTCCTGTTTGCTCACGTGCTGGCCTGGACAGTGGGCCCTTGTCACTGCGAAGACAGGTAGTGTGGGAGGGATTTAGCGTGACACTGTAACTGGACAGCTCAGCTGAAACCACTTTAAAAGTTTATACTTCTCTGTTACTTTCTTCTTGGAAACAAAACAAAACCACTTCAAATAACAACAAAATCCTCTTCTTTGTAATTTAACTAATCTGCTCTGCTTAAAACTGAACTGTATACAAAGAAGAAAATGTGCTTCTAAAGGTTAGTTCCTTATTCTTTTCCCCCCTCCCCACTCGCATGTACAGGCTTGCTGGAGATAAAGTAGGATTACAACGTCCAATTGTGGGATGGAGACCTGTTTAAGAGGGCATAAGTGTACTATTCAGACCACTGAACACTGTGGTTTTCTAGAACCAGTAACCAAACACACTGGAGGAAAGTTCCTTTGCTTCAGGTTTACCATTTCCGTATCTCTAGCAAGACTAAGAAGCAGATCCTGTAATTCAGCACAACTCTACTGAGGTCTCAGCAGGAGCCCTTTTAACTCCCCACATATTTAAGCCACAGCTAAGTTGATTAGGACTTGAGAAATCTTTATTGTCCTGCAAGGCTCGCCTTCACAGTTACAGGGGTTTAACGATTTGGTTAAACTGATGCAACTTTGTGGCTGACACTTAGGGGTGATGCACTGTTTGAATCAGATGCCTGTTTAGATGAGTTGGGAGTGCGCACATACAAGATGCCTGAAGAGCATGCCACTACTCACTAAACTCCTGCTACTATTATATTTAACCATCCTAAATAAATATGGGTTGCTAGATTCAAAACTAAATGTGATGATAGAATTACACAAATTTACTTTTCTTCCCCCAAGAAGACATGAGAAATGCAATTAAGTTTTGGATAGTAAGTTTTACAGCACCTTGTCACAGCATTTTGCAAGGACATGGCTGAAAATGAAGATCTGCCTAAAGAAGCCTTTGAGGCAGTGCACTAAACAATAAGCCCTCAGTACCTGCTAAGGGTTGGTCACCTGCCTACGGAGGAGAGAGGACAATAGAAGCAGTTGATTTAATCTGGGAATCCCTAAATCTCCTAAAAGGGGAGGATCCTGTTCAAAGAGCTTGCCTCCTCAATACATCAGGGATATGAGATCTGCAGGTAAAATGGGTGAACACTCTTTACCTATAAGCATTCAGATAATTTTAAGGATTGACTGATTTGTTTCATAGAGCACCCTACTTGCTCAAGTAAGTAGTTCTAGGAAAAAAAAAATCTTTTCTCCCTCATTTATTACAGAAACAGAAAAGTGACTGAGAAGTGTTGTCTCTGTAGCAGCCCAGGTAATTTGCAGTCATCATGACATGCATAATATTTTTCTTAGTGTCTCCTCATTCTTACACAAGAGGCCAGTTAAACACATGTAACTGGAAGAGTGCTGACCTTTACCCACACTCATGAGCACAAAACATGTCAAGGTGTGTTTTCTTAAATGGAGTATTGTTGTGTAATTGTAGCAACCACGCTTTTTGTAAGAGTGAACCTTATATTGGTTGGATTGACAATTTAATCGATGACTAAACCTCCCATTGAGATCTGACAGGAGGTAACACTAATTCAATTTTTAAAATAAAACCCCTCACATACCGAACTCCACGGTTAGATTATTTTCTGGGGAAAGGCTGTGGAGATTACATACTATTTTGCTGTCCATAATATTGTACACTATTGTTCTTGCATTTTAGTATTGCTTTTTCTTAGCAATCTTTTATCCCTATTTTTAAGTGGTGATGTACCTAATATTTATGTTTTGAAATACTTTAGTGCTGAGAAGCAGCTACAGTGCAAATTTTGCTATGGCCAGTTTCATCTGAAGGAGGAGGTTCCATAGCATGGAGAAACCTTCTGCTTCCGAAGCTGTGAGAAGCACGTAAATACATCTGAGCATTATTTCAGTTAGCCAAGATCTGCTTGCATATATTGCAGAGTAGTGAATGTTGGTCTTGCCATCAGTGAACGGGCTTCCTATGTCTCCCTAACAGTGATCCTTTACTTACCAGTTGACTGTACCCTCAACAGCAAATACAGAAACCTGTCTTCTGCAGCAAAGGTGTGTTGAGAGTCAGCTACTGCACCACTTGCGCCTTTTTTTTTTTAATTGCCAATTTTGATTTCTAAAACTGTAGATTGATAGAGAAGGAATGTCCCATCTAGCAATTTTCCTTGGTTATTTTTTGGCAAACTGAAAATATGTTTTGCTTAATGCCTGCATCAAAAGAGGCTTCTCAGTATACTTAGGAAACTTTCAAGTGTATAACATTGCTAGTTAGGGCAATATGCTCTCTAGACAAACTGAGTTATCAGTTGCTGAATTATCAGTTTCCATAAATGATGTATCTGACCTGCTCTCTAGACAAAGCAAAGATTGTGCTTTCACAATCTTTTCACCCCAGCTAGGGAAATGTCCAAATGTGATACTGACTGAGAAAAAGAGGACTTGCAGTGTAACAGTAGTTTTATTTCCCCCCTAGCAAAATGGAGAACATTTATTTCCAGTTCTCTTTAGCTTGGTGCTTCTATCTGTGAACATACAGTGCATATTAGACCCTGCCAGACTGTCAGCTTTGGTAATAGCAGAAGAAAGAAGGAAGTGTGAAAAAGAAAACAAATGCTACTGCAGGTTAGTGTGAAAGGAAGAGGAAAATATACTTGTAACCTGTGAAATACAAGATGCCAGACAACATATGCTCAGGAATCCTTGCAGGCAATATTATTTGTAAATGCCATCTTATGCTTTCTGAAGAGTAGTAGTTACATTCATACATGAAGTCTCAGCCACAATTGTTGTCTTTATAACAATAATTATAACAGATATTGCAAAGTGTCTCCATTTTCCATGTATGCATGTATATACCAGTCACTTATCCCTTTTGCATAAGGCTTCAATCAGGCATGTGTTCATATTCTCTAAGATTCCAAAGACAGAACCTTGGACACCATCAGTTCCATGTCTCCCATGGAAAGAATCAGTCAAAGATTGGAAAATGCTCAATCCAAATGGAGGAAATCTGTTTTCCAGAGCACGTGATTCCTCAGGGCAGCTTTGCTTTCAGCTTCCTAGTATGCACTGTCTGGAAAAGCTCTGTGCATCCTGCACAGCCATTTGCCTGGTTAGGAGCAGTGCAAGGGGCAACGAGCTGTGTGCTGTCCCTTCTTTTGTGCTAAAGCAGTATTTGCTCCATCTGTTTACAGGCCCAGTGTTTTGAAATAATGCTGGTTGGTTATTCTATATCTGTTATTAACACTGATCAGTGTATCATGA